GAAAAGACCCAAGAACCTGAAAGGGAGGAAGGGGTAGCAGATGAGTTCCTAGGACTGGGAGGTATAGCAGTAGCCTAGTGTGGTCCCTTCTCATCAAGACAAACCAGTGGTCCTCTTGGGTGCCTACCCAGTGTGGTTGTGTACAAAAGCAAGGGAGTCTATTTTTGTACATGAGATACATCACACTTTCCTGTGGGGCCAGTATTGTGGAGTGAGTTTGAGTTGTTTACACTGATGCCTTCCCTGCCCACCACAAATTGTGTACATAGTCTTCTGATGATACCATCCCTTCCCAGCTCTTAACCATGAGCTGGCTCCAGGCCTGTGTTATATGTTATATTAGCCTTTTTATATATGATCTTGGGTTTCTGTTGTTTGTATTTTAGCACAGTGTGTACACCTTCATTTAAATATATCTGTGTATGTGCATACATATATATGTATACTAGAGGCCCAGTGCATGACATTTGTGCACTGGGGTGGGGGTCCCTCAGCCCGGCCTGCACCCTCTCGCAGTCCAGGACCCCTTGGGGGACATCTGCCTGCCGGCTTAGGCCCGCTCCCTGCGCAGAGAGCGGGCCTAAGCCAGCAAGCGGATATCCCCCAAGGGGTCCTTAGTGCTGCTACAGAGGCGGGAGAGAGACTCCCGCTGCCGCCGCTATGCTCACCAGCCGTGAGGCCAGCTTCTTGCTGAGCGGTGCTCCCCCTGTGGGAGTGCACTGACCACCAGGGGGCAGCCCCTGCTTTGAGCATCTGCCCCCTGGTGGTCAGTGCGTGTAATAGCGACTGGTCATTTCATCTTTCAGTCGATTTGCATATTAGGGTTTTATTATATAGGATAGGGTGTATGTATGCATATATATATAAAATACTTGTTTCTTGGAGTTTAGCTGAAGAACAGCCTGGGGGAAAGACTGCATCCTTGCTAATAGTGTTTGCCACAAGTGTTTGTGAGTCTTCCCTATTACATTTTCCCTTAGGAGACTTTAAGGAGCAAAGCTCCAAGTGTTTGCTATTCCCATGGCAGCTAATTGAGGGTCTTGGGACGACTCCCTTGTGTTCATCAAGCCGCACTTTGGGGCCCTCTCTGCAGTATTAGCCCCCTTTTTTGCCTGGTGATATTCTGTCTGCACCTTTATATGTGTGACAGTCACTTTTGCATGCCTTCTGTGTCTGGCTTACAGTATTTGGGGACAGGATGCTGGAACCACGGCATTTTCAGTTTGAGGCTTTACCAATTACACGTCACTCCTGTTTACCTGTTATGTCTTCTTTCTTGTTTCTGTTCCTTGCCTTCTCTTGGGGGAGGGAGGGGTCCTGATCAGGGTTGAGATGAGCTGTGGCTAGCTTATGGCTTTTCTTCCCCTGCATGGCCTTCTTAGAGCAGGATGAATGGCATGTTATTTTACTAAATTCCCAAACATTTAATTAAGCAGGTAACATACTCCCTGCTCTTCCAGAAACAGACTCAACAAGGTAATGATTTGTCCACAAGGACTTGCCCAAGAGTACATGTCTGCTAGGGGGAAAGCAAGCCATTACTGCCTCTGTTCAGCAGCAGAAATAGGCTATGAATTGCAAGCAATTACTATTTTGTTTTAGCAGCTACTTTTTTTTTTTTTTTTTTTAATCTTCACTTGAGGATATTTTTTCCATTGATATTTAGAGAGGGAAGGAGGGGTAAACATCAATGTGAGAGACACATGAAATGGTTGCTTCCTGCACAAGCCCCTGACCGTGGCCAGGGATTGAACCTGGCGTAGGCTGATGCTCTAACCACTGAGAACACTGGCCAGGGTGCAATTTTTGACTTGTTCTCAAACTTAAAGGTCAAGGGGCATGCATCTTTCTCAATGTAGACTAGGACCTGCAGCTTCTGTGATACTCACTTTATATAGCTTTGCAATTTAATAGTGAAGGAAATTTTAGAAACCAAATGAACTCCTGACTTTCCCGGGATAGAAAATTCATAGTAGGGATAACTTCAGAGAGTGCTTGGAACAGGGTTAACAGAAAACCTGCATAATTAACATATCTGTAACTAGAGCAGCTACCAAGCATAATTTTCCTGTCAGCAGGAAAATGAATTGTATTGAGTTGTGTGTCCAAAGCTGAGGTACCATGTCCTTTGAAAATATGCACTCATGGCCTCTATAAGGACCTGGCTCCTGAGTTAGGAAGGAAAGGAAAACGACGTAGCTGGAAGTGACTGGAGATGATGTGGTGGTGGGAATAAGGCAGAATAAAGAGAATAAAGGCTGTTGGCCAAAGAGGCTGAAGGCTGGGGCTGCATGGATGCTCACAGTGGAGCCAGAGGTGCTTGAGTTCTTAGTGAGGAGGGGCTGCTCACCACTTTCAAGTCGGGCCAGAGCCACCGATTTGTATGCGACAGTAACAACACTGCATTGCTCAGCCACCAGCTAGTTGGTTATTATTATTATTATTGTTTTTTTTAAGAAAAACTTCTGGTTGCAATAACAATTAGTGCTTATTAAAGAAAATTTGGGAATTTTAGAAAGAATCAGTTTTCCACCCAAATGCTATCACTGTTAATCTTTTGGTGTTAAGTGTTCTAGACATTTCTGTGTGTAGATTTTTGGTGTGTTTACATAGTTGTTATTCTACTGTATATACAATTTTATGTCCCTTTTGTACTTAACATAAACATTTTTCCATGTTATCTGTCTTAAACAGAATTTTATGGCTGTAGCCTCTTCCTTTGAGTTTCGGTAGCATTGTTTGGTTCCTAGAGTTGGAGGGTGAGATGGGTTGACTCCTGGCTCACAGTGGGCTTCGCTAAAACACTGTGTGGATGGTTGGTTGTGCTTCCTGGGACTGCCCTTGACTGCCCCTGGTGACTAAACTATGGGCTGGTGGGAGGAACCACTAAACTCAGTCCTCAGGTGAATAGCAGCGTGAGTCTCCTCTACCCCAGCCTCTAATAAGCAACCATATGGCCAGAAATGAGTGAATGGGAAAGGCCAGCCTGAGCCAACCTTGATCTTCAGAGACTTACATCTGGCATGTACCTCAGGCTACCTTTCATCCCCACTTTTATCTCAGCTCTTAATCAAAATGGCAGCCTCTATCTGGAATAAGATTTGTCCTGCTAGGCCTTAGCTTTTGGGGGGCAAGGATAGTGGGGCCTCTTTGAGGCTTCTATGCCAGTTTTGGCAGACGGCCTGGCAATTGCTTGGTAACCACTGCCTGGCTTGTGAGTTGGTAACTACTAGAGCCTGTATTCTAACTGCTCTATCCTTGGAGCTGCAAGCACCTGCCATGTGCCTTATTCCCGGCCCTCTCTGGACCAGAGAAGACAGTCTTAGGCCCATTACTTTGCCCATGGTCATTGGAGGTTGGCCAAGGGCTGTGAAAGGCAGCAGAGGGAACATCCCAGCTTATGAGCAGTAGGTTGACAGATTGCTCAAAGAGGAAGAGACCTCACAACCCAGTGGGAGCGCTGCTGCAGCATTTGACTCTGAGACATGAATACATAGGTCAGTGTAGCTGTTCCTGCTGCAGTCACTCCTGTCAGCTTGCTTGTAGTTGACAGACCCACTGCACCCACGCCCTTGGCTTCAGCCTTTGGTGTGAGGAGCAAGAGGATGAGCTGGCTCAGCTGTTGATATGGGCGAGAGGCAGACACAGGATGCTGCCCACACTCTTGGGGGCGGGAAACTACTGAGGAAAGGGGAAGTAAAACTCCTGCAGGTTATCCGGGCACACTCCTGCCCTTGCCAGCTGCCAACTAGAGTCCTGGAGAGGCTGCCCAGGGCGGCTGGGGCCGACCAGTTTGTCAGGATACATGGAGGTCCAGACTGTGGACAGATGTAGGTCCAGAAATGCTGGGCTATGGGATATGACTGAAAAACGAGAAATTTTGTAGTTTTTCCTATCTTCCCTAAAAAACGTTTAGGACCGTGGTCGGCAGATTGCGGCTCGTGAGCCACATGCGGCTCTTTGGCCCCTTGAGTGTGGCTCTTCCTAAGCCTTAGGAGTACCCTAATTAAGTTAGTAACAATGTACCTACCTATATAGTTTAAGTTTAAAAAATTTGGCTCTCAAAAGAAATTTCAGTCATTGTACTGTTGATATTCGGCTCTGTTGACTAATGAGTTTGCCGACCACTGGTTTAGGAAATGGAGTCTAAAATGAGTTAATGGGCCGGAAAGAGGGTCTGAGAGCCTCCTCAAGGAGTTAGTAAATACATGAATTTTACCATCAATTCCAGGGCCTATTGGCCCTTGTCTTTCCTAGCTGCTGTTTAGGCTGTGTGCTACCTGATAAGAACTCATCTCAATTGTAAACCAAAATAGTGGATCAGGGAAGAGTCGAGTAAGGTTGAGGTCATGAAGGTGATTGCCTTATAACTGAACAAATACTTTCCCAGTACTTGAGTCTTGGCAAGTGCTAGATTGTAAAATAGTCTTGTTGGAAGGGTAAAAAATTAAGCTGCCCATCAAAATGCAAGCCTTGGAATTTCTATTCAAAAACAAGTTAAAAGGGCAGCCCTTCTGGTACCTCAAGCCCAGAGCTCACAGGTGGTGGTGGAGACCTCCTTTCTGTTCCCCAGGCAGCAGTCCTCTCACTGCGGCTCACCCCAAGCTGGAAACTAGGGAGGCCACAGAAAAAAAGTGCTATATGCAAGCTTGCAAGGTAGAACTAAGACTGATTTTTTGGAAGGTAAAAGCGAAGGTAAACTGTAATGCCAAGCTGTACAGGAATTCACGATTCACAAGGGCTTTTCTGCACACAAACTTTTAATCATAGGGAGGTGATGGGGAGCAACAAAAGAAAGGCATTGGGGCATCAGCCTGGGGAGGGGACTGGAAGGAGCAGTTGGGATGCAAGGCCAGAGGCAGGAGCAGTCATTGGAGGGAATTCCCCACTCAGCCAACTGGGACTCCTTGCCCCTTTTTGTTCTCCAGCTGCCTGCCAAAGGGAGGACCGTGGGAGCTGGGTTCTCGACACTTCAGTTCTGACTGCCTGGTATAAATAAATGCTCCTCTTGAAATGGGTGGGGGTGGGGGCAAAAGCCCTGGGCTGTGTCTGGGGGCAGGCAGGCAGGCAGGCGTGCTGTTGACCACAGTGGAGGGATGCTCACATTGCACCTAGCCTGAGTGGTTTTGGGATATGGTGTCTGAATCCTCAGTGGCCACTGCTCCCTTGGCTCTGGCTGTACAAGGGAATCACGAACACAGAGACGTCATCGTAGGACACCTGCCCTTCCTCTGTGGGATTGCCATCCTTCCCCTGTGTGCTGTGTATCAGCATTTGGGCCAGCTCCGAGAACCTGTGGGGATCATCCTGCAGATGTACTCCAGGGCTGAGCAAAGAGGCAAAGCCCACCCTCAGGGAGAACTCACTGCGCTGGGTTAGACACTTGGAGACCAAGCCATGCAGTCCAACTGAGGGGCCAGGCAAGCTGCAAACCTGTGAGAGCCAGATTGGACCCACAGACATCCCCACCCCTTGGAATCTAGAGACCACACTAATCCTGACCCTGCCGTGAGCCAGGCTTGCCAGTGCTGTCTTCTCAGCTGTAACTACTTGGTGTTGCTGTTGCACCCAGGCCCAGGCAGGTCCCCAGCAGTTACAGTACCTGTGTGGGTCCTCTCGATTGCCAGGGAGGAAGCTCCGCACTAGCCGTGCCACCTGCTCATTGGACAGGACATCCCAGAGCCCATCAGTTGCCATGACAACCACATCCTCCTCCTGCAGCTCCAACTGGTCCAAATCCAGCACTGTCACCTGCAAGTTAAGCCTGAGGATCCCTCAACTTTCCCTTCCTGGCTCCCACCAGCCTCATTTTCTGGGTAGATGGAAGGAAGCTGGGGTGGGCTGTTGCCCTCTCACCTGTGGGACAGAGAGCAAGAAGGGCTTGAGTTGAATGTTTGTATCCAGGACTCTGAGCTGATGGTCTCCCAGGCCCCGGGAGACGGCCAGTGTTCCCAGTAACCGAGCCTGGGGACAAGGGAGATGTGAGGTGACAGCAAATAGCCCCAGCAAATGCACAAGTAAAGCACAGAGATGGACTGTGGTCCTCAGGCACCCTGGGCTGAGGGAGAAACATCCTGTGGCCTTGGAGCAGACCCAAGACACCAGCCACAGCCACAGCACAAAGAAGCTCCCGCCTCTGCAGTGGGCAATTGAAGAGGGATTTTTGGAGGGAGCTGTTCACTGACCTGCCTACCCTGTCCGTGGATCAGTGGGTACTTGAGATCCGACTTCTCCACGCACTTGTAGCTCCTACCAGGAGCAGACCCAGTATCAACCCAGGCCCTACTTCCCACCTCCTCTCCCTCAACATAGGGCCCACCCTGCCCATGTGGATGGGATTGCCCCAGGCTACAGAGCTGGGCTTAGACACCCCGTGTGTCTCCCCACCCCCATCCTGCTCACCAGCCGCTCATGTAGTGATCCCTGAACAAAACTTTCTGCCCCAAGTCATCCCCCTTTAGTCGCCGAGGGAACTCCAGTCGGGTGAACTCATCAGCCAGAAGCTCAGGGTAGACAAAGGCCTGGGGTAGGGAGGCCATGCTCCGATTAGGCTCTTGTTGGTGGCCCTGCACCCAGGAGCTGGAGCTCCACAGCCTCCCTCTGCCAAGGGCACCTACCAGTTGCTGGATCCGTTGTCGCTCACTTTCCGGGGTGAACTCAGAGCTCAGAGGCCGCACCTCATCTCTCCGCACCAAGATGGCCCTGGATGGGATTGGGGAGGAGAGGGAGAGGGCTGTGATGAAGCCTCCAACGTCACCCATGGCCTCCTTTCTGCTGGCCAGGGGCCTGCTCTGCCCACGCCCCCGTGTTTGAAGCCCTCCATAACCTCCTGCAGAGTAAAGCCTCAGCCCCTTCGCCCTGTGCGCTCTCTGGCATCTGCTGTCCACTCAGACTCCATATAGACCAGGTGTACAAATAGCTCAGCTAGTCAAGCCTCCCCATTTCCCTCCCTCCACTTCCAGCCCCCTTTCATTGTCCCCACTGCCTGTCCTGCCTGCCTGCCGCCTGCCCCACTCTCCGAGCTCACTCACCTGCTATCTCCGGCATTGGCCACATACAGCTTCCCCTTCAGCGACACAGCCACCAGGGCTGTGCAGCCACCCACTTGGCCTGCGGCCTCCAGCTCCCGCCCGATCACCTCATCCTGGGGCAAACAGAGGCCACTTTAGCTTGTACTGCCACCATATCACTCTGTCCCCAGTGCTCATCCTGCAGTTCATTTCCCCACCAACCAGCCTGGCAGTCCTAGTCCAAAGTCTAGCTATGTCTCCAGGACCCCGTGGTCAGATCTGTGTGTATCGCTGGAGGGAGGGAAGTCCTACTCAAAAGAGTGAGAAAGGGAAGCCAGCTCCTGCACCAAGGACCAACAGGGTGTGCAACGAGATGATGCAGGTAAGAGCACATAGCACATAGTAGGCGCTGGATAAATGGGAGGGGTTATGATAATAATGATGACTGTTAGGAACAAACCAACCCAATCTTGTCTTCCCAACTCAAACATCGAGGGTGACTACCACACCCAAGGTCTCTCAGGTCCCTGGGGACAAAACTGTCACTCCTTCCCCAGTCAAAAACCACACTTAACTTACACATTCCTGGAACGCGCTCTCCAGAGCCCCAATCACCAAGTCTTCTGTCCTAATGCCCTTTTCCTCAACAAACTGGGGATCACTGGGGCAGACACAACAGCCACTGAGGTGCATGGGGGGCTGAGTGGCCACCATGCCCTCTCCTATGGCCTCCAGCTGCCGGCGCAGGCAGGAGTGCAGGGTGTTGGCAGCCAGGATGGCTGCAGCTGGACCGCCGTGCCCATCAAACAGTGCCCAGTAATGACCGGTCAGGAACTGTCCAGGAAAGGACTGGTGTCAGGTTCTTCCTGGCTTCCCCAGTTGATCCCTGGCCCAGCATGGGGCACTAGGGCAACAACTTCAGCCTGAAGTCCTAGCCCCAGTCCTGGCCCCAGCCTGTAAGAGGGGCTCAACCCGGTGTGCTCACCTCCTCTGGGCACAAGGTCAGCCACTCCTGGTCCTCTTCGGGCCCAAACTCACATCTCCGGATGCACAGCTTCCCACAGGCGGCCTGATCCTCATTGAACTCCGATTTCTCTGCATTGATGATCCTGAGGCCAGGAAGTGATCAGTGACCCTCCAGGGACACACCCATGTCCCTGTGGGCACAGAGACCAGAGCAGGTGCACAGGGAGGAGCCCTCCCTCTGGGCAATAGCCCCCACGCTGTCCCTTATGTCTGGACAAAGATGGTGTAAGTTTCTTAACTCTTCAGTGACCTAAGGCAAAACGCAGGGCCCAGCTCCTCTGAAGCCTGCCTATTGACCTGGCTGGGAGGTCGGGGGCGGGGGGGGCTGCTGGGGAAATCTGGGGTTCCCTTGCTATTCTCCCCCACCCCCCATGTAAGCGAGAATCCCTGTCCCACACAGCATAAGCCAGAACCCAGGGGGGGTGTGTGTACCGGGGAGGTATCGCCATAGCCCACAATGCGGGCACTCCACTCAGTCTCCCTGTCTCATGTTGGAAGCCCAGGGGTGCAGATCCTTGCCAACTTGCAACCTTCTTCTCTGAGGGAGGTCGGCCCAAAAGGCAGAGGTGGAGGAGGGGAAGGCTGTCGGAGCCCAGAGATGAGGGCAAGAAGGAGTTGGCCGCAGGTTGGGGAGGGGGTCACTCACTCCGTTTAGCCTGTTCCCTAGCTCAGCACAGGCCCCGGCTGGATCAGCAGGGGTCCGGGTGAGGGGTCCCGGGACAGGGTCGCTGAAAGGGGAGGGTCGGGCGGGGTCGCAGGGTGTGGGGCACTCACTCTGCGTAGCCTGCGTTCCAGGGCAGCGTGCGGCCGCGCGCGGGGCAGCGCACGGGCCGGGCGTCCGGGCGGCGCGGGGCGTCGGGGGTGCCGGGGCAGGAGCCCGAGCCGCGCAGGAAGCGGGGCCGCCGGTAGGGCACGGGGCTGGCGCGCGGCCGGGGCGAGCGCGGCGCGGGGAGCGGGCCGCCGGCGACCCCGGGCAGGAAGCGGCGGCGGAACCAGCCCGCGGACATGGCGCGGCAGGGGCTGCCGGCGGAGCGCGGGGCTGGCGGGAAGGCTGGGCGGACACCACCCGGCCCCGGGAGGAGGAAGCGGGCCGGGCGGGCTGGGGCGGGGCGGGCGGGCGGTGACTCCCCTAAACCCCAGCCTCGCAGCGGAGTCCGTGCGCCGCCTGCTGCCGTCGGGCTCGTCAAACCGCTTAACAACCTAAGAAGCAAACGCCGTTACCAACCCCACTTCGCAGGCCGGAAAAGTGTGGCCCAGAGAGGGAAGTCGCGCCCCGTGCCCCACGGTGACCTGGGCAGGCGGACTGTCCACCCACGCGTGTGGGGGTGGGGCCCTCGCCGTGGAGAGGGGCTGCCCCTCCTCCCCGCTCCAGGGGCCCGCGCAGGGCTCAGGGCAGCCGGGCGCCTCCTGCTGGCCCGGACCTTGCGCAAGGGGAGGAGGGAAGAGGATGTCCTGAGGTGCTGGGCTGACACCGTGAGTGCGTCTCAGCACCGCGTTCCCCTCCGGTGGCCTCTGTTCCTCCCGGCTCAGCTCAGCCCCCTCCACCCCGGATGGACAACACTCGTCCTGGGACACCGCTCCGAGCCCCTGGCTGGCTGTCACTGCAGGGTCAGCGGCAGGGTCCCCCTTCACATCGGGATGTCAGCAGATCACCCTTTGTCACTTACACCCGACTCCCCGTGCAGGCCTGTTATTTCCATCTCATAAGGACCGTGCAGCCACACAGGGGAAGTGTCCTGCGCCCAGGGCTGTGCTGTTTCCATTATGACAGTGGAGCTGACTCAAAACCCACCCCCCAGGGATTTCTCTTCCCCTTTCCTCCTCCGGGAAGGCAGGCTAGTCAACTCAAAGCCCCTGAGCCCAGGGCCCCCAGGGAGGGTGATAGAAGTCCCTACCTTTGCCTCTGCTCCTAAACCCATCATATGCCCACTAGGCCTTACTTCCTCCCGGTGGGCCAGCCTGCCCCTTTGTGAGTTCCCCTTACCCAAAAAATAAGGTTCTCGGGGCTGGAAGCTGTGTGCAACACCTCCCTCAGATGGTTCAGTTCCAGAGAGCCTGTGGGCTAATTTACTGGACCCACTGTGTGTGCCAGGCCCGCGCTGGGTGCAGGAGCACAGCACTGACTGATGGATATGAGCTCCCCAGCAGTGATGGTGGAAGTCCTGGTGGATGCTGCTTGATCCAGCTGGCAGGGGGTGAAGGCAAAATCAGCGAAAGCTTCCCAAAGGACACCTGAGCTCTGACTTGTCCTTAGACAGAATTGGACCAGGGACCCAGGGTAGGGCAGACTTAATTCAGGATGTGGGTTACCTCATCCCCACCAGCCAATGGCTAAGAGGCTTGTAAAGTCTAAAATTCAAGGAAATACCAAAAACACAGCCTACTCCTCCAACCCACTGTCATCGCCTCTCCTTGGTGGGATGCAGGCCCTGTTCTTTAAGGTGTATTCAGAGAAGCTCCTGACAGCCAGATGCCACATGTTGCCCAGCGTAGCCATTTTAAGTTTTCACAGCCGCGTGGAGCCCTATGGCAATCCCATACTCCGTTCCCAGGTGTCCTGAGTATTCCTTCAGTGCCACCAGGGTCCCCTGGGTTCTTAGGCTCCCCTGAGCCTCTGTTCTTGCCTGGATCCCAAGCTTGACTCCTTTGGTTCACTCCCTCATTTTGATGAAGCACGTCCTTTAACAACTAACAGCTTGCAAGTCTGAAAAAGTTTGTATCCTACTTTTGCTTTTGATCGATATTTTGGCTCAGAATGCTGACTGCTCTGTATATTGTCTTTTGCCTGGGGCTGCTGCTGAAATCCAGTGTCTGTCTTATTCCCAGACCTTTGGCTTGTCTTTGCCTTTTTGTCTCTCCACATACTTCCTGGTTCTTCTGACTCTGGTGTCTGAAATTGTGGGGGAGGGGCTACATTCCTGGGCTGGCCCTCCCTGGAGGTCATGCAACACCTCACTCCCCAGTGACACCCTTCTCTGGACAACCTTTTCCAATTGCTTGAATGAACTCGAGCGCGCCCTCCCCTGGCAGGAGGCCTTCCCTCAGCACGTGAGGAATGGAAGGTAGGAGAGGATCAAGCTTAGAAAAGGAGAAAAATGTTTATGCTACATTTTTTTTCTACCTCACAATGAAAATAGCTTTTGTTATGTCCAATATCTCTCCTTAACAAAATGTAATTTTTAAAATTTAATACTTTTACATGACTCAAAATTTTAAAAAAAGTATAATAGTGTATTTAGCAACAACTTTCCCTCACAACCCCACCCCCTGGCTACCCAGTTTCCCTCCCTGGAGACATCCAATATCACTACCTTCTTGTGGATCCTTCCAGAAATGTCAGGGGTATTCTGTGGAAATTCAAACAAAAACATTACATTGCATATACTAGACAAGAAATAACAAGTGCTGGTGAGGATGTGGAGAAAAGGAAACCATTGTGCACTGTTGGTGGGAATGTCAATTGGTGAAGCCACTGTGAAAAACAGGATGGAGGCTCCTCAAAATATTAAGGGGGTTAGAGAGATGGGGAAAAAGTGGTTGGATTTGGGAGGGCTGGAGAAGTTAAGTAACTTGACTGACGTCACATAGTGACTACTCAAATTTATATGAATTAAAATGACACAAAATTAACATTCCACTTTCTCAGTGGCATCAGCCACTTTATGAGTGCTTAGTAGACACAGATGGCTACCTTACTGAGCAGGCAGATCAGAGGATATTTCCATTGTCGCAGAGCGTGAGGGACAGCACTCCCTCAGAAACCAGGTCCCCTGAAGTTCCTTGCCTAAAGCGCAGGCAGATTCCCTACTCAGTCTGGAGTCTCTGAGTGTTTGGGGGCTGATGTCAGCAACTCTGGATTGTGCTTGACCTGGCAGCACTCCCCAACCCTTAAAAAAGTGTGGCGTCCAGAGCAGTGCAATTGTCCCTGCCCCTTTACTACAATTCAAGGCAGTGACTGAGAGGTAGGAAGCCACGTCACTAATGTGTCCGTGTGAATTTGACCACAGGGCCACCGGGGCTGCATGGAGACTCAGAGCGGCCACGTATGAACCCTTCTTCACGTACGACTTCATGAAGCAATCAGGGATTTGCCCAGCTTCTGAAAATATTGGCACACAGAATGCACATTTCACGACTGGAATCGCCCATTTCGGAATTAGATGTCAGAAGAATAATAAAGTAACTTTTGGTGAGTACATACTATCTGTAACGAAACAAAATGGGGATTGCAGCAGCTACAGCTCAATCTTCCATCTCAGAGGTTTATTAGCTCGAATCCCACTGGAATCAGTAGCAGGATCTGAGAGTGTAATACAGTGGGCACATTCAGTATGCTGCATGTTTCACACTTATTTGATCACTGGATATTTTTCTGTTTTCTTTTTTAATCTATGAAATGTCTCGAAAATTAGTTTTCTAAGAAACACAGTTTGGGAAATACTACGCTGGTCCAGACTCATCATTTTACAGATTATGAGAAATGAGTTCCAAAGAGGGTAGCATGACTTTCTTAAGGTCTTGTAGGAAGGTGGTTAGGCTGGGATTCAAACTTGTCAGAGGCCAGTGCTTGGGCCCCTGCATCATTCACTTATTGGAGAGTTGGACGTACCATGCATGTCAGCCTTTCACAAGAGACCTGGGTGAATGCTGAACCTTCTAGGCAGACTATCCTATATAATAAAAGCCTAATATGCTAAGTGTTTGACTGTTCGACCAGTTGGTATGATGCGCACTGACCACCAGGGGCAGACACTCTGACCGGTAGGTTAGCTTGCTGCTGGGGTCTGGCCGATCAGGACTGGGTGAGATGGGCTGGACACGCCCTGGAGCCCTCCTGTGGTTCCTCCCTGGCCTCGATCGTGCACCGGTGGGGTCAATCAGCCTGGCCTGCACCCTCTTGCAATCCAGGACCCCTTGAAGGATGTGGAGAGCCGGTTTCGGCCCGATCCCAGCAGGCCAGGCCGAGGGACCCCATCGGTGCACAAATCTGTGCACTGGGCCTCTAGTCTATATATATAAAAGGCTAATATGCAAAGTGTCCCCTCGGGAGTTCAGCGGGGAGATTGGGAGCTCGATTGCTCGCTATGATGTGTGCTGACCACCAGAGGGTGGCGCGGAATGAAGGAAGTCCCTGGCTGGCAGCCAGTAGCCAGGGAAGGAAGGCCCCAGTTGGCAGCCGGAAGGTCCCGATCGGTCCTAATCACCAGCCAGGCCTAGGGACCCTACCCATGCATGAATTTTGTGCACTGGGCCTCTAGTTGTAAGATAATAGTAAAAGACTGGGGGATGGGAGTGGGGAGCTGCTACACAGTAATTTATTATGTAACAACAGAAAACTAATAGAAATAGCACGGAGGCCAATATGGCAGGAATGAAATAAGCAAGGGGAGACTTTGAGAAGATAAAATCTGGGAGCTAGCCCAAAGCCAGAAAACGCAAGGCTTTCTGGGCCTTGGTCGTGCCATTGAATTTCCAGTGACTAGGATGGGATGCTGCTGGAAGGTTTGAGCAGAGGAACAGTGGCCTTGACCTGCTCCTGAGAGCTCAGTACTGTCTGATGAACTGGTAGCCAGAGTAAGCAACTTCACTGGTAGGACCCCCAAGGACTTCCAGTGGTACTAACAGATCCTTTTTTTTTTAAGTTGATGGTTGTTGTTGTTCTAATTCTTTAGTAGTTTCATTTTTTGTTGTTGAATTTATTGGGGGTGACATTGGTTAATAAAATTATATAGGTTTCAAGTGTACACTTCCATAATACATCATCTGTACATTGTATTGTGTATTTCCCACCCCAAGTTAAGTCTCCTTCCATCACCATTTATCACCCCTTTACCCTCTTCTACCTCCTCCCCTTCCTTTCTGGTAATCACTACTGTTGTCTCTGTGTAAGAGGTTTGTGTGTTTTTTTGCTCAATCCCTTCACCAAGCTCACCAACCCCCCTCTCTTCTGACAGCTATCAGTCTGCTCTCTGTATCTATGAATCTGCTTCTATTTTGTTTGTTTATTTTGTTCATTAGATTCCACATATAAATGAAATCATATGGTGTTTGTCTTTCTCTGATTAGCTTATTTCACTTAGTATAATA